CCCGAGTTGAAAGTGCGGGACAAAATGTGGGACACACACACAAACACACACACGCACAGACAACCCGGTGAAAATATGCGTTTTGTAACGCTGTCACACAGCACAAAACGTATAATAACTTATTATCATCGAACCGCAAAATAAACAACAACTGTTCAAACAAGCTAAGCGGCAGAACTGTGCATGCCTCTAATATATCTACATCAGTTATCCTTTTGAGACCGAAAATCTGTACGTTGAGGCTCCCTCAACATCTACCTATAATTTTAACGTTTCAGCTCTTTCGATTCAGTACTCTCATACAAATAAAGGAGCTCACTTACGGCTGACAAATTTCCCATCATCAGGAAAGCGGTTAACGACGAATCAAACAGAAACGCAATTCGCTTCGCCGCTTCGTTTCCACCACTGGGGGTTGGAGTTGTCATCGACAGGGACTGAAAAAGGAAACACATGTATTATGCCGATGGCAACAGACGAGAAATACAACGCTAGGAAATGAATTTCAGAACCGTGGAAGTAGCCGGCGTATCCTGCCCACCAAATAACACATCCGAATTGCATTCAGTTTCATCATCCTCATCAGCGCCACCTGGTGAAACCAGCGATTTGGAGAAATCCGATAAATCGGTTGTAATTGCTGTGGTCGATGTCTCGTCCATCCTGTCCCAATACCATCATTCACAACAGAAAAGAACAAAAAAAGAATTAGAATATTGTTAAAAAAGTGCTATTAGATTCATATGTTTCTGAGCCTATTCGACCAGAGGAAATAGAAAGCCTACCTACCACTACTGACCGACCCAGTGCTCAAACTGCTACATACAAAAACCACTGGGACCCTTAGAATGTTGATTTCGATATAACTGGAGTTGATCTAGGCCATTCGCTCGTAATTTTTTGTCAGCTTGGTCGTACTCCGATGAGATACTGTTCTAGGATTTGCAGAAAACATTTGTTATAAGGGGAATGGAGATATTCGACGCACCAAAGAAAACATAACAGAAGTTGATGGACGTAGAAAACGATGAAGCTCTGCACAACAGCCCAAATGCTTAACATGGTGGAAGCTTGAAACTTACTCTGGAATGATCATATGGCTAGCCCATGTAACATGCAACGCAAGATTTTCAAGGCCAGTGACACGTTTTTTAGCAAAACCAAGACGGCAAAAAACCGAAATTGCGTTTTTCACCAACTGTAAATCGATGTCCAACGTTTCCGCGAGCTGAAATTATTCGCAGTCGATTTAATTACCATGTAATTAATTTTTTCGGATCAATAAACTTCTCAAAATGCTTTACTTTGAGATAAAAAATACCTCGCGCACGGTTGTTTGTTCATCGATTGCCACGAAAATCTGATAAAGTAAATTTTCGAAGTAATCACCCATCACCCGGTTCATTACAAAACCATCCAGTGTTGGAACTGTAAAAAAAGATTGTCAAAGACAGTAATTTTTGATAAGTTTGTGGCCTTGGACGACCATCTGACAATGCATGTGAGAAGTAACTAATATTTGGTACCGTAAATGTAATCGTCATCATTGACCGGCACCTCCAAGTATGCCAGGCCTCGATTGTAGAGCCGTTGAACTAGTTTTGCGTCAAGAGTACCAACCAATTGGGCCCCTTCGTCAATCAGCATGTCCAACAAATCTTTTTCGTCTTTGCTCAATAACTGCAAAAATCACCGATTTAGCCCGTGCGAAGATGCGTTTTTTGCAGAGTTCCCCGCAGTTTTTGTTGCTACCGGCACCGGTTTTT